CCCCCCCACTTTGGGTTTTTGCATCTCTGGTTCAGCCACCGGCTGTTCAGATTAAAGGATCATTCTTGGTTTATCTTGATCCTTGTCTTCCTAGGGTTCCCCCGGGCCCCAAGGATCTCCTGGCCTTCCGGTATGTGTTTAAAATATTATTTGGGCTTGGTGGTGTTTATCTTTCAAACAAACAAACAAACAAACAAACAGACAATGGTGGCCTAACCCTTTCTGCATCTGGATTGTACAATGTGGAAGCTGAATGCAAGAAATGCCCTTTCTTTACAAACTAAAGCATCGGGCAGAGAGATTTTCACCTTGCCTTCTCCTTGACGTGCCAGTTGTCTACGGCCATCAATCGCCAGGAATTTGCTATTGATTTAACTTACCTTGTCTCTTATCTTTACAGGGCCCACCAGGAATTCAAGCTGCATTCGTAAGTTTTCTGGAGCTTCGTTGGCTTTGAATTCTGCAGGTTTGGGGACTTTGTTGAAAGAAAACATGCCCTGTGGGAGATTGTGTTACAGTAGGCAGTACAGTACTTATTTCACTTAAGCATCACAGTCTCCACCCTGGTTTACTTGAAGGTTGAAAGAGAGAAACACAGCTACATAAATGTCTCTCTTAACACGTAACTCTGCCTTTCCACCAAATTAGAGCTTGATTTCACCCCATTCAAAGGGCAAGAGAACAGAAACCATGTGCGGAAGTGTATTGTATGTATTGTGCAAGATCTTTCCCGTTTGGGATTTTTAAGGAAACGAGGTCTTGAATCCTCACCTTGATGGACCGAAACTCTGGTTTATCCAGCCAAGTGGTACCATATTTCAATACTGTGCCCAACTTGAAAAACATAGTGGAGTTGATTAGCTCATTGTTTTGGGGATGATGACGATAATGGTGATGATGACGTTAGGGCGAGCTTCAGAGTTAAGGCAAAGGGAGATGTGGGCATTTGGTAGTTGAGTTTGGTTAAACTGCAATGCTTGGGATTCAGACTCTTCCCACTGACTCCCCCCAGTTCCTAACCCTAACCTTTCTTTAACAGATCAGGTATGCCTTACCAAGTAGTTACCAATGTGTGACATGGTTTCCTTATTAATCCTGACTTTGTAGAAAGACAGAGCAAGTGTTCTGTATGGACTTTCTCCTTCAACTCTACCATATCTATTTCTTTTCTCCCCTAAACCAGCGGCAAGATGATGTTGATGCAGGTTTTCACTCCGTGATGAGTGCCAGTGCTGTGTTCAGGTCTGAGGTAAGCCATGGGAGCTTATGAAGTATTGAAGAAAGACTCTCTGAAATGTCTATGGGAAAAAGGATCAGCCTCTGCAGGGAATCCATCAGTGGCTTCCTTGACCTTTATTCCGCTCTCTCCTTTTTCCTGGGCAGGGCCATCAACAGATGGATCTTCCAGTGATAGACCAGGAAGGGGAGATCTTTAAGACTCTGCACTACCTCAGTGGCCTCATCCAGAGCATCAAGAGACCCATGGGAACAAAGGAGAACCCTACCCGCATTTGTAGAGACCTCATGAACTGTGAACAAAAGATGCAGGATGGTAAGCCTTCTTCTGCTCCAGGATGGACAGGCAGCAGATAAACGTCCTCCAAGATCTGTATCTGCCATGATGCATTTCAAGAGGAGGAGGATGGATTTCATGCTGTATCTAAATTTTCATCTATTTGGGCCAAAGATGAACAAAGCGTAAGGCCTAGATTTCATTCATTCATAAAATTTCTGCCCAGATCTAACAACTCTTGGCAGCATACAGAAGAATCTCAACGTAAGCCATCTCCTGAGAAACAGAAGGAAAAAAGAACACAACAATGGAGAAAAGAACAACAATAGAGTTGTATAAGATGGCCACTTGTCCCTTCCTTACTAGGTGCCAATGCAATCAAAGGCCCATCTAAAGAAAAGTTTGACTAGTCTCCTAAAAGCCAGGAGCAACAGGTCCATCAGATCTCCATGATCAGCCTGTTCTACAATGTTCTGGTCTACCACCTCTCTCTTCACACAGGGGTGAGACCTCAAGCTGGCCTTCTCTAGATGATCTGACGGGATGGGCAGAATCATTCTGGATCTGAGGTTGTAAATAAAAGACACTGATAGCTAGTGGTCAAAGTTGGAGCAAAAAGGTCTAGTCTTGGAGGTCTGCATGATGGTAACTCCCACGCTGTTCTTCACAACATTGATAAAATCAGTGGAAGTCTCAAAGATACCACTATAACTGGATTTGGTCTCATTTGCTGCTTCTCTCTCTCATCTTTTTCCTTCAGGCATGTACTGGATTGACCCAAACCTTGGCTGTTCTTCAGATAGCATTCCGGTCACCTGTAACTTCACCCAAGGGGGTCAGACTTGTCTCAACCCTATCACAGCATCAAAGGTACACTAATGGCATGTGCTGTTTCTAGAATATTCACTGGAATGTGACATTTAATGTGTTGCCCATTGAATGGCTAAAAAAACACCCCAGAGACAAGGACATTTTTATTTCTGGAGAATGCCTGTGGTTCTCCATGGGGCACAGAGACATTCTTGGAAAGACAGATAATATATCTGGAGCTTTGCTGCACAGCTTCCCATTTAAATTTTTTAATTCAAAAAAAAAAAAATCTTTGCAAAAATTAAAGACAGGCGGACAGGGAGTCTGGCACGTGCTCAAGTGCCCAGAAGCGACACGTTGCTTGTCTTAAGAACTGTGTTCCAAACTGTTTAAGCTTTTAAAAATAAGAAACAGCATCTTAAGCTGAGCCTGGAAATGAAGAAATAGCTAATGGCATTTTTTAAAGACTGGAGGAATGTTTTGGCCTGGTTGAAAATGATGTGTTCCTTTCAGGGCTAACCTCAGGCAACTGCAATCTAGCCTGGAGGAAGACAATAGGTGAATGAGCGTAGCCGTCATTTTCTGTCTAAACGTAATCGGGATCAAGAATTTGAGATTCTGCTGTCTAAGTTATTGCCCAGAATTTCAGGCATGTCATATCTCTTTCCAAGGATCAAGCAGCAAGTAAGGACTCCATTTTTGCCAATGGGTTTTGCTGGTTTTGTAGCCAAAGCAGCAAGATCCATTCATAAAAATGGTGGCATTACCCAGGTTGGCTGCAGGAAGCTATTTTGCCATGTGAAGGGTGACTCTTAGTGCAGATTCCATGCTTATCTGTCCAGAGGATAGCCAAGAATATTAGATATTTTTTTCTCCTTGTAGTTTTGTATATCTCCTGTGCATGGATGCTTAGGTGCAATTGGAGCTCTCTGGAATAGTTATGATTTATACATGAAGGTTGCGAGATGTTTCTCCTGGCCTGAATCTTGAGTCCACTCTTTGTCCTAAACTTGTACTTCCCCTTAACCAGCTGGACTTCGATATTGGAAGAGTACAAATGAATTTCCTTCATCTCTTGAGCTCTGAAGTTGTTCAGAACATCACCATCCATTGCTTGAACATGCCAGTCTGGCCGGAAGGACCATCAGAAGGGGCTGCCATACGCTTCAAGGCTTGGAACGGGCAGATCTTTGAACAGGGCGGGAAGCTCACGCCAGATGTTGTGGTGAACAATTGTAAGGTATGGAAACCGTTCATGAAGTTCTCCAGGAAAAAAAGTTGGAAGGGTTGGAGACAACCCCTTTCCCCGAGCCTTATATCACACAATGAGGATACTGTAATTTCACAATCTGGAGCTGGAAGTGTCTGCTTGAATATACACGTGTTGACAGGTCTCCTTCCCCAAACTGCAGATGTTTACGTGTTGAATTTGATTTCGCCTTTGAGTTGTTTTATTATCCAGAGCAGAGGTAGCCAGCTCAGTTTCAAGCCCTGGTAACCCAAGTCAGCATGGCCAGCTGCAAAAAATTGTGGGAGCTCTAATGTAAAACCTCTACAAGCCCTCAGGTTGTCTATCTGTGAAACCAAGCGTTGGAGTTGAGACTTTTTTGATAAAACCAAAAGTGCCCCCTGCTGGTAGTTTGAAGGAATGGAACGCTGCTTGGGTCTGAAAGCAAAATTTGATATGATGCAAGAGATCTCATATCAATAGTTTGCATCTCTTATTGTGGTGGTGGTGGTGGTATAGGAAATACCTGGGGTTCTGTGGACCACACGGTCAACTTTGAGGCTGTTTGGGCTGCCAAGAACATTGGTGGAACTCAGGCACAGGGCTTGGATCTTAGCCTTCATGTGGACACCTGTGATGGAACTTTGGTTGATTATGTGCTATCAAGTCATTCTCAACACCTAGCAAACACATAAATAGATTTTCTCCATGATGATCTGTCCCTAGCCTGTTCCTTCAAGTCTCCCAACGGTCCACCCATCATTACGTAACTGAGTCCCTCCACCTTGCTGCTGGTCATCCTCTTCTTCTCTTTCCTTCCGCCTTTCCTAGCATCAGAGTCTTCTCCAGAGAGTTAGATCTTTGCATAAGGTGTCCAAAGTCGGATAATTTGAGCCTGGTCACTCTGGGTTGATTTGTTCGATGATCCATTGGTGGGCAGAGGGGAGAAGGCAACAAGGAGGGGGTTTGCAATGGGTTTTCCATTTTTTCCTCCTTTTTGCGGGGATGGGTCTTCCTATCTCCAGCCCCACATGATGGCAAGGACATAAACCTTCTTGTCAGGTTTGCGATGTTCAAATCCCAGTGAAGAAAAATCCCGTGCAACCCAGGTTAGGTTCAAAAAAGATTTCATTTATTGGGACAGTACATGCAGCAATAAGCAAAGCATTGCTGAAACTAAAGCCCGCGCTTTTTCCCCCCTTGACTTTCCCCCCTACTTCTCACCCCCCTCTTTCCAGGCGCCAGCTCTGTTTCCCACAGAGGTGCGACCTTGCACATTCCTATCCTCCGATAACAGTCCATCTTCCTGGCCTTTGACACCACACCGATTCCTTCTACTTTCCTTTTCCCCCTCCGCCTTCTAAAGAACGGCAGAAACGAAGCCAGCACCTACTAAGCTAATATTTTGATTGCTGAAGGTTCTGACTCTTCTGTTTCCTCTTCATCAGACTCAAGACGGCCAGTGGCATTACACGCTCTTTACGTTCCGGACGCACGACATCCAGCGGCTGCCGATCGTCGGTGTCTATAACCTTCCGCCAAGCAGGCCGGGGAAGGAATATCTCCTTGAGGTTGGGCCAGTGTGTTTCCTCTAGGGGACGGCTTCCTTGGCACTCCAAACTTTGGCTTCTTTCGGAATAGAGGCTGCGTCTTCCGCCGGGCGACTTCGTTGCCTGAACCTCTGGAAGCCCCGAGACCTGGGACTTCAGCACTGGGACCACGTCAAATGGGAAGCCTTTGCAGATCCAGCAGCCTTTCATTCCTGGCGCAGAGAGAAAACGGCGTCCGTTTCAGAAGAGCGAGGGGGCAACGGGTGGGCCTGAAGCGACCGCAGAGGTGGCCAGCTGAACTGGAGAGTTCTTCACCCAAGGATGTACTCATTCCCCCTCTTCTTCAGCCAAAGAAAATGTTACTTTATTGCTTGCAGAAAACCCAAATCTTTCGTGCAGTTTTTGGGTGACCAAGCATGGCATTCCGGGAACCCAGGTCATTGAACAGGCAGAGGTTTTGCTGGACAAGACAGGAAAGTGACTTGGAGAAACAACTTTGCCATCTTATTATTATTATATTAATTATTTTTTATCTGCTCACTGTTCTGGAACAGGAAGGTTTTGATGTGCAATATTAGAGAGAGAGAGAAAGAAATATAGATATAGATATATATATTATTTAAGGCAAAAAAAAAATTAAATAAAAGCAAGTGAGATTCTTCTTCCTTTGGGAAATGAAAACATCCCTTTGGATGTTGCGTGATAAGGGAGATATCCCCCCAAGAGGAAAGGGGTGAGCGAAGTTTGGTGCTAAATAGAAGAAAAGAGAGAGCAGACGAGAGCGATAAAGGAAGAGAGAAAGAGAGGGGGACAGGCCTTTTCAATTTGATTCTACCTCTCACTGTGAAAATACTTGGTGCTCTTTTATTTTTTAAAGAAGCTGTAATTTTATATACGAGTAAAACTATTTAAAAATTCTCAGAGGTGCTATAGTGTCTCTTAATGCCCCCCACCTTGCCCTGAACCCTCTGTTTTGGTGCAGATCCTTTGCAGGAAGAGAAGGCAGGGCGCGTTCTGGTTAGGGTACCACAATGCCAAGTCAAGGCTTAATTTAAAAGCGCATTAACTATTCTCCAGATTTTTCCTTTTTTATGCACCCTTTGGAATCCTGGTTTCATGACCAACTTATGCATGAGGGTGGGGGGGGAGGCGGGGTGTAAAAACAAAGAGCAATTTTTATATATACGTGTGTGTGCTAGTGTATTTGGGCTTTGGGGTTTTCTAAAGCAAGAACAGAGCCTGTACCAAAAAAAGTGTGTACCTCTGTGAGCGCACGTGTTGGGCCAGCTTCCTTGCCAGGATTCTGGGCCGCAAGGAAACCATGATGGAAGGAAGGTATTTTCCATAGTAAACTGATCTGCCGTAGCTTTTCTATAAATAGGGGGACCGGGTTTCAGCATCGGCTCTGGGTCTTGTGGTTTCTGAACAGGAGAAAGAAAGAGCAGACCAAGAGCAGAGGTATATCGGAGTTGTCTACCCCCGCTTCGTCTTGGGTTTTTCGTTGTTCTTGTCACTGTTTCTTGTTTCGTGCGTTGTGTTCTGTAGAAAGCTGGACTCTGTATCTGTAAATGTGGGACTTAAAGAAAAAGGAGGGTTAATAGTATGGTAACCGTTTTCTTCTATATAAAGAATGTCATATTGATGTAAGTGAGGCCATGCTGCCTTGGTGCTTATTGACTTTTTCCATTTTTCATAAGAAAAGACAAATAGACTGAGTCTTAAATGATGTGTGTTTTTTGGAAGGGGGGGGGGAGCCGTCTCCGGCTCCTGCTTCAACGAGCAAAAATGTAAACCGAGCCGTACCGTTCCTTGTTTCCAAGGCTCCCTCTTTATTTTTTCCCCTGTGCCAAATCTGAACGTTGCAACTGAAGGAACCCAGGATAAGCCACCTTTCTCCAACCTCGTGCACTCCGCATAGGATTCCAGCCGGATAGGATTCCAGCTTCTAGCATTCCCCATTGCTGGCTCATTGCAGTTCCAGGATGGAGAGGGCTGCTGTAGAGATTGTTCTGCCCCTGTAAAATCTTCCCTGAGTCACCTCCCTCTCCTTCTCGAGCGCCATCCAGCCCTGCCTTCTAACCAGGCAGCGAGGCTTTGAAACCCCTGTGTCTCCTGGTGTTTTTGCAAGCAGAGACAATGAAGCAAACATGTGGCACGGATTCTCCGAGGGGGAAGCGGGCGTGGCCACAGCTGACTCCCATTGACAAAAATCAAATGCATACACAGAATCCTGGCAAGCTTCTGCCAAGACATGACACAGCTTGTTCTCATCGCAAAGACCAGCACGATGGGTGGGCAATGAATGGGGAAGGGGGGAATTCTTCTTCTGTGATTAAGACTGTCCAGCTGATGCTGCAAAGGCGAGGAGGGGGAGCCAGCTTGAATGGCACCGTCTTCCAGTAGACTGTGCCCCGCTCTGGGGAATGATCAGATCACTCACCAGCGTGTTTCTTTCATTAAAAATAAATGATCACCCTGCTGGATCAAATCAGAGACCCATATGGTCTAGCATTCGGGGAGTAACAGGCATTTGGGAAGCTGACAGATGTGGAAAAGAGGGGGTTGTTCTCTAGCACAGATAATTACTAGGAAGTCCATATCCATCCCAGCGCAATTCAATTCCCGTACAATTTACAAAACACGGTCCCTGGTAAATAAAGATAATAAGACAGTTACAGCACCATGCTGGTCTTCAAAAGATGACCTGTTTCTTTGACCAGATGGATGATCAGTCTCTCTTCATTTGCTGAGATGGAAATGGAGCCGGGCCAAGGATTGGGTTGAATGTGACCTGAGGGCCTTCCGTTGCCAAATAGTGAATCAGCATTTTTATAGGACTCCTGAAAATCAGAAGGGGTGGATAAATGTGTATTTATGAAAAGAAAGAAGCCTTTGATTGAGCAAAACAGAAGCACAGAGGAACAAAAGCCAACGAGCCAAATTACTTGGAAAAAAATTGAATTCTTACCCCAAAATGTGGGGGTTGGTGGGTTGGGGTGTGCTCTCTTCAGTATTCTCCCAGGTAAAAATTAAATTTGGATGGCTGTTTTGTGGAATTTGAGAAGAGAGTTATTGTAGCAATGAGCCCAAAAGCAGGCATAGGATTCTGAGAAAGAAGAAGGCACATTACTTGCATTTTCCTCACAGATTCTCCAGTTATTTTCCTTCCCATTTCTTTATTTTTTCTGTGTGGCCAGTAGCTCTCACCAGGGGGCAATAAAAGCATGGCTAAAAAATCCAGCCTTATATTCCATTTACAGCTGTAGTCCACAAAAGTTATTTCTCCAGCCCTTTCTTTTCTCAGCTCTGTGCAGTTTTTCTCATGGGACATTTCAGGCTGCAATCCACTCAGCTGGGAGCGAGTCCCATAAACACATCTCAGTGGGCCTTACCTGTGAGTAGACATAACTTTCCTCTGCTGGATCCCATATCGCCAACTCTGGCATCCGACATCAATTCAAAGAAGCCATCTAGCCCGATTTCTAGAATTGAATAGATTTTGGACATTTGTCTCACTCTCCCTGAAAACAAACCATTAAAAAAAGAGCATCATTTGTACATTTTCCCCTGAATATCTGCCCCTATTTCTTTAAAACAGCTGCTTTACTCTGCTTCCAGGATGTGCCAGAACAACGCCAAGTTTATGTGATGACGGGAATGCAAAATAGGAACTTGGAATTGTAGGTAATTTGCTCTGGCTACTTGCTGTGGAGAAGGGGGAAGAGAAGGAGGAGAAAAAGAAGAGGGAGAGGAAGGAGGAGGAGGAGAAGGAGAGGGAGAGAGAGAAGAAGGAGGAGAAAAAGAAGAGGAAGAGGGAGAAGAAGAGGGAGAA